ACACCAACAGATGTCTTCATTAATGCCTATGGTGCCTGGGGCCAAACAGTTAGTCACATGTTTAACAGAGGCTTTCAGATGCTTCGTCTGGTTTTATCCTTCTAGGAGATTGAATCAGCATTTTTAATATTTAATTCACAAGTAAGAAGGTGAAAAAGGAGAGCAAGAAAAGAGAAAGAGAATGGTAAAAAGAGACTGAAGACATTGGGATAAAAAGGAGGATACAGACTTATATTAAGTAATAGTTTAAAAATGAATATCAAGCAATATTAATAGAGAGACAGATGTCAGAATTCCCAAAAGGATGCACTGATATTATGGCTACTGATGAAATGCTGTTTCTGCTTCGTTTGTTCATTCTGTCATTTGGCATGCTTTATTGAATTTTTACTCAGCACTGGGCACTGAACATGGCTCTGAGAATAGAAGAGGAAATAAGATCTTATGAATCTTATATATAATTTAATTAATAATTTATAATTACTACTACTGGAAAATTATTATCTTGAATAGCATCTCCAGTTACACCAAGAAAGGCCTCTATAAAACCTGGGATTATATAACAGTATTATGAAAATGAACCATGTACACACATTCAGAACTGACTCCAAAAAAGCTATCTATCTCACACTGGACACTAAGAGGGCTCCGAACTTCTGATCAAAGATTATCTAAAATGACATTTTAAACCATTATCCTCTTTAGAGAAGGACAAAATGTTTATTAACATTTTCCAAAAAATTGTTTTAGTGATTACAGCTCTTCCTTGGATAGCAAGATGAAGTATCCTTTTAATTATAACAACTAGCACCTAAGCATTTATTTTTTAAGTCTGATGCTATTTGATAAACATCAGGACAATCCACTGGAATACAACATGAAACCCTAAAGGCTTGCAGATCAAGTAGAACTAAAGCAATAAAAATAAAATTGTTCCTCTATATGAAAAAATGGGAATTTTTATTTGTGTTTTTGGGGAGATTTTGATATTGTTATTGTATCTTGAGAGAAAAGTGCAGCTAGAAGAGGAGGAACAGCATCAGGACAATTAGATACTTGCATATAGGTCAGTAAGCTCCAGTGGCAACAGGCTAAAGTGACAAGAATTGAATGCTTTCTCTACTATTTAAACTGTGGGACTCCAAGTAGTCTGTAAAATCTACTAAAATGTTTTCTGTGCATTTTTCTTTCTTTTTGTCATTTTGTTTTTGGAAAACAATGAAGAAGAAATAATTTTCCATCAAAAGTACTCAGTGAGGACCAGGGAAAGCAGAAGCAGAAGCCAGGAGTAAGCAGAGACAACCTTGAGAAGCTGAGTCCACTGCACACTCACAGAAGTCTTAGACAGGACTTCCGGTTTCCTCCCGGTCTGAATCGGGGCTGAAGTCAATCTCACGTAGACAGACCCTAGATTTCACCTATGACAGTTTCACAGAAAAAATCAAGATGAGATATATCTAGAATTCAAGTGAATTTCACATGGAACCCCAAACTGACCACAGTGAAATGTGTTCACTGCTTTGAAATTTAAAAATTAGTTTTAAATGTCATGCCACCTCCATCAGTTTTTCTCACAGATGAAAACCTGAGGTCCAGAAATATAAGAGATTTGTCAAAGGTCACGTGAGATGAAGTTGTTTATGAACACAGATGATCCTACTCTTGATACTAAACGTTGTCTATTATGCTATTGTTTAGCATATTTTAAAACAATTATTCTGGATATAATTATAGGGAAAACTCATTTACATCTTAAGCATGAAAGAAATAATTAACATTTTCCTAAATTCAAAAACAGAATTTTAATATAAGTTTCTAGTGTGAAAACTAAGTGATTTGCATATATTCCTTTGACTTAAATACCTAATTGCCAGGGTATTTGCATTTTTCTATCTGATTTTGCCAGCACACTCAGTTCATTTACATATTCCTGTTAGTCTAGTTGCTGAGAATGGGTGGCCTTTTCTACCCATAATCAAAATTAACTTCAGCTTCAACACAACTCAAGAAAGGAAATTTCATAGAGCATGAAGAGGAAATATTTTCAGACTCAAATCTTGTCAACCCTTTAAACAATGAGTAGTTATTATGATATTCTTCTCAGGGTGCCTGAGGCTATCTAAAACAGGATTAATATTGAAAATATCCTAATAACACATTCATATGTCAACTTAGAGGTGCATAAAGAGGATTTATCTATGAAAGTACAAATATTTTAACCCAGGCATGAGACACTAATGGGTTATACATTCTCTCTCATTTCCCATAATACATATGACCTGTGGCTGACTTTGGTGTTAAATCTCCGAATTTATAAATTAAAAAGAACAGAAGTCTGATTTATTGACGAGGCTTTCAGCCTATGTAATTAACACCCCACAAGTGCTCACAACGAGATGTTTGGGCTCAAATTGTGTCATTTATCTAAAATAAAATGAATATGAATTATACATGATTTTACTGTTAATTCATTGTCCTCATTATCCATGTGTGTTTGCAGTTACTTTTACCTTCATCCTGAATATTATCAACAAGATGACCCCTCAATTTGACTAAACTTTAGACAGTCTGTTTCCTGACTTGAGGCTCCCCACTCCGTTTTCCTAGAATAGTTACTGAAGTAAACTTTTCATTGCGTATTTTTTCTCTGCCTCTTTAAGACATAATTCTTCACCTAGCCTCTTTTGCCAGTTTTACAACCCAGGAATGGCTTTCTCATAGCCCTGGGAGCCGTTTTTCAAATGGAATCATCAAAGGAGATACAGTCCTATCTTCCAGTCTCTGTGGGACGGTGGGAGCTTAAGTCAGGTCAAATAGCAAACATGCATGGCCTGTTTAGATTGACCCCCTACTCCCCCGACGTTCTCCAGTACTGATCTACTAGCTCACTCCATGCTTAAAAACAGCTCCTGCTTTTTTGTGTTTTTTTTCAGTGCAGTTTATTCTCCCTCCAGTATTGCAGTAGTCTTGAGTAAAGTCTTTCTTGTATCTTTAACTCTCTCGGGTATACATTTTCTTTGATAATCATCATCATTATTATTGCTAACATATTTGGATCGCTTACCATGAAACAAATACTTTGCTAAATCCATTACCATTGAAAGTCTTATTTAATTTTCACAGCGACCTAGAATTATTCTTGGTCGTATTTTATAAATGAGAGAATGAATACACAGAAGACCCCCTGGGTTGGGAAGATTCCCCTGGAGGAGGGCATCACAACCCGTCCCGTCTCTTATCTAGAGAATCCCGTGGACAGAGGAGTCTGGCGGGCTGCAGGCCATTGGGTTGCACAGAACTGGATATGCCTGAAGCAACTTAGCACGTGTGTGCGCACGTGCACACACACACACACACACCCTGTCTGTAAAGGAGCACCTATAAGTTTTCGTAGAGAAAGGGAAAGTAAAAGAAGTGCGGAAGGAAAAAGAAAGAGATGGAAAGAGAGAGAGAGAGAGAAACAGAGGCAGAGAGACAGAGTCAGAGACGAGACATTTTGGCATTATTGGAAGGTTGGCATAGAAGTTTACCCAGGACACATGGACTGTATAAGTAGCACTGCTTTAGTGATTGCCAGATGTTTTGGATTGAATGTTTGCATCCTCTGAAACTTCGTATGTTGAAGCTCTAACCTCCCATGTGGTGGTATCTGGAACCTTGGGAAATAATTAGGATTTGATGAGTTCCTGAAGAAGGAGAGCCCTGTGTTGAAATCAGTGCCCTTATAAAAAGAGGAAGAAACGCGAGATCACTCTCTATGCATGCATCCATCAGGGGAGGTCATTTGAGTACCTAACCAGGAAAAAGGCCCTCACCAAGAGCCTGACTATGCTGGCACCCTGATCTTGGAGTCCCAGCCTCCAGAACTATGAAAACGAAGTGCTTTTTATCTTAGCCACTCAGTTTGATGTACTCTGTTATAGCAGCTCAAAGGAAGACATCACTTGAAGCCACTTTCCCTGCCTTTCATATGACTAATTATTAAAGCTTAATTTGGCCCCCAAAGTTATTGATATTTTTGCATAATACCAGGATTGGAGAACTATCTTCATTTTGATTGTTTTTCAGTGTCTTTACAAAGCAGTCTTCATCATTTTGCTCTATATATTAAAGTCCAGGTTAATTGGAAATTTTTAGCAATTGGTTTGCTATGTATGTATTAGTCTTCATATTATATACCCATGAAGGAAAATGCTGAAACTCACACTTTCCTAAATAGGGTGCTGTTTCTATATTGAGCTATCTTAAAATTTTAATTTAAAAGACTATTAAAATATCATACTCTGGGAATGAAAATGATATTCTCTTACACTAACTTTTTAAATATTTTATATATTAAACATATTTGTTTTTCTTTAGGATCTAAGCATTTCTTCACAATATTTTCAGCACTGATGAGTCATATTTTTCTGAAACTTACCCAGATTGTAGTAGTAGGAGAATGCAGGAGGATGAAAAACTGTCTATATCCTGTACTAATCAGAAAGTTCTAGACTTATAAGGCTCAGTCAATACAGATGAGAGATGAAGAGGGGGGTTTCCCCTTGCTCCTTTTGCACAAACCCCTCCCTACACATTGTAAATTGAAAGTGACCTTATGGCCACATAGCCTATAGGCATGAATTTGTCTGATATTTATTTTTCTGATTTAGATTTAAACCGCAAACTGAATGGAAAAAAGGCCATCAGAGAATGAGCTCATTATTCTGATTCTGACCCCTTTTCCTATCTCCTCTCACTGCAATGATAATTTAGCTATTTAATCAGAGCACCTGACTGACTAGGGAAGAAAAAAAGATTGAGAGTGTCTTTTCTTGTTTTTAATTCAGTAGCTCTTGTTACGTATAGTTTGCAGAGCAAAGTGGTAGTTCCCATGTTTATTTCTAACAGGAAAGTCAAAATAGAGGCTTCCACCAAGACTTATTTTTTTATTTTTATTTGTATTTATTTATTTATTTTTTCCCACCAAGACTTATTTAAGCAAACAGTAAATTAAAGAAAATGGCTTAAAGTGGCAGTAGGGATCAGAATGATATAGAGAATTTAGCCATAGGTTTCAGACACCAAGGAGAAGATTTCTCAGACAGAAGTATCCCCATGAACTGCTTAGTGAGTTGCCAAAGATGTCTGTGGTAACCGGCTGTCAAAAGCAAACCTTTGTGTTTCGTCTTCCTTGGTGAAAACTTGTCTCTGCGGGGTGGCTACCCAGGCAGGGTATGTTCTGGTCTTACTGCCATCCAGATATGGCCATGTTCTAATCAATGGAAGGTGGGAAGTGACATGGAGTCGCTTCTTCATGCTGCAGAAGTAAGCGTGCCTTCTCCACGCTTTTTCTTCTACTGGCTGTAAGCAGATGACCCCATGGCTAGGAGAGGAACCACAGAATGGAAGGAACTTGTGAAAGTGAGTGAAAGTCTCTCAGTCACCGGAAAGAGCTTAGATCTTTGATTTTCCATGTGGAGTATTCCATGAGGAAGAAATAAAAGCCCATCTTTAAGAACCTGAAGTTTAGGGGGGTATTTGTTATAGCTACCAGGGCTGTCCTGACTGATGCACTTTGAATGGTAGTACTGCCAGGACAATCACACCAAAGCATTCCACGTTTACTACTATGAATTGTGCAAGAAAGCATCTCTATTCCTTTTTACTCCCTACCTTAATCTGTGCGGCTTTAAAGACAGGAAATATTAATATAATTGGTTAAGTGGCAAGATAAAATTTAGACTCTATTTTATAAATGCATGAAATAGTTGTGCTAAAATGTCCTGTGCTCACATCTCCTTTTTCTTATCTTTTCTTCTGTGTACTAGGACCTATGCTGAACTAGAGCCAGGGTCTCTTTAGATTCTGATCACACTCCGTTTTAGACTAAAACAGAGTCTTTGCTGTTTGGTTGCTTTGTGTTTCTGCACCGTGTGGCTGATCAAAGAATGATAAGATTCTGTGATTTAACACTTGGATGAGGCATCCAAATTGAACTGAGATTTCAGATCAAACTTTACTAGAGTTCTGTTGTAGGAAATATTACAGGAGACTCAGCTAATGACAAAGGAGGGGTGGATTTGCTTCTCACTCTTTATGTATTAGGGCTTCCCTGGTGGCCCAGATAAAGAAACTGCCAGCAAAGCAGGAGACCTGTGTTCGATCCCTGGGTACGGAAGATCCCCTGGAGAAGGGAATAGCAACCCACTCTAGTGTTCTTGCCTGGAGAATTCCATAGACAGAGGAGCCTGGTAGGCTGTAGGCTATGGGATTACAAAGAATCAGACATGACTGAGTGACTAAACACTTTATGTATTAATATCTTAGGTGCATTTCTCTCCTGGGAATTTTGTGATTTGCAGAGGGTATAGGCTACACAGGATTCAGTTAAACTCTCCCTCAGTCTCTGTATATGAGTAGCTAACGAAAAAATATAACTACAGTACACCTCCCACTTTAACAGCTTGTATTAGGCTTCTTGGGTAAGCGTTTTGACTGCCTCTTTTTCTCTATTCAAAACATTGAAAGCTATATATAAAATCTTATTAGTCCAGTGCACAAACCTGGATCTGGTACACAAACCTGGGTGACTCAAAGGTCTGTTATAGCCCAAATCCCTGGTTTTACCATTTCTCATAGTTATGCCCATAATTCATGACAGTGTTACCTGTAATGTCATTCTGTGTTCTTTTCCTTAAGACATCTGTGTGTGTTTGTGCATGTGTGTGTCTGAACAAGATCTGTTTTTTCTTGGACTTGCAAGCACCCAGATATCCAAATTCAGACACTTGTTAGTATCCTCATTTTGGCTGGTTGTAATCTACCATCTTTCATATTCAAGCCTACCTTTCTCTAAGACCAAGTTGGCATATCCTCCTGACCATAGCCTAATGAAATTACATTATTTTCATGATAAAAAATACTTTTACTATTAGAGGAGTACTTTTTCTATTACACCTCTTACCACAACATACCTGTTCCGCTATTCTCTTCCTAGCAGGACTTGCCTATAACAATGCATGCTGTTCTTCCAAACTTAAATATGCTCTTTGACTTCAGTTTCCATCTCCATTTCATAACCAATGGCCAGGATCTAGAAGAACCTCCAGAAACAATGAGTCTTGGGGCAGGAATCTGAGTGGGATGTGTAGTCTGGCTCTGCTCCAGCACCCCGTTTTCCATTTTGTACTATAGTGACCTGCCTCAGTTTTCAGGACAAGAATGTCAGCAGCACCAGCCAGTGTCTGGCATATGGAAAGGGGATGGTTGGGAGGTGTGACTCTTGAGAAACATCTTTTGGCCTCAGATACTCATATATGCATGTTAGGCCTTCCATCTAGATGCCTCAGGAAAATTCTGGGGTGAAGACTGTGAAAAGCGGGTGGTGTTGGTTTTATAAAAATCCCTATGTCAGGGAGTACTCCTGCCCTATATTTTTTTGTTGGCCCAAACCACTGTATATTGGATCCCCCATGGTCTAAAATCTACTGGACTTAATATAGTTCCATTTCCCCACCTGCTCTGCACATGTATAGTGAACCATCTTTTTACAGCTTGTTTAAATCCTGAGGATCCCTTGAGACTCCCAGCACTGTAACAGTGAAGAAAAAAACAGACAATGCTAGTTGCATTATTTCCCTATTGTGGCTGTAACAAATTACCTCAAATTTCACGGCTCAAAAACAACACAAATTTGTTACCACGCATTGCTGGAAGTCAGACATCAAACCAGGTCTCACTGGGCAAAAACTTAGGTGCTGGCAAAGCTGCATTTCTTTCTGGAAATTCTAGGGGAGAATTCATTTCCTTCCTTCTCTTGAAGAGGCTGTCAGCCTTCCGTAGCTCTTGGATCCCCTCCCCATCTTCACAGCCAGCAATGTTGTGTTTGTCTCTGGCTGTCTCTTTATAGTCACAGCTCTCTCTGACTCTCAGGCCTCTCCTTTTCCATTTTAAGGATCCTTGTGATTATACTGGATTCACCTAGATAATTCAGGGTAATCTTATTTTCAAGTCAGCTGATTAGCAACCTTAATCCCCCTTTTTCATGTCACCTAACATAATTAGTTTCTGGGAGTTAGGATGTGGTCATATTTGGGGAGTCAGGGAAATTATTCTGCCTCCATTGGTCAAAGCAGCCAGCCCCACAGCCCACCTCCGGCTCTCCCTGTTGCACGCTGCTGCCTCAGCAGTCAGTTTTCACTACTTGCCTCTTGCAGTAACATTAGGTGACAAGCATCCGTACAAGGCCTGTCGTTTTTCTAGTTTCTACTTGCACTGTTCATTTGATCAACATCTCAATTTCCATATGTTTGTCATAGACTATGTTTAGTCCCCCTAAAATTCTGTTGCCTGGGAGACACCCACAGGATTGGAAACATGTCAACAAACCTTGAGAGATGTTATACTTTACTTGGAAATATGAAACCTATGTTTGGTGTCAGATAAAATGGGTTGGAGAAAAACAACGCAAGTCCCTATGGAGGCTGCCCTTCAGAGGAAGTGAGACGTTTTTATATACGTGTGGTCCCTAAGAGATCTATCTCAGTAACTGAATAGCACAACCCCGAACAGAGACTTTGTAAGCTGTCATTTTCATTCCTTTTAACTAAGCAGAGTTATGATAGTTTGAAAGAAGGTATAGAGTTGTACATCAAGTGATTTAATTATTGTATTCAAAAGCAGCAGGTGTATGGTACAAATAAAGCTGAGGACTGACAAGAAAGCACTGGTTGTCACTCCTGTAAAAACACAAAGGGAGAACTCTAAGCAATTACACAGTTTAGCGCTGCCCATCCGAGCACAGCGATTCTCTTTTTGTCTCCAGCAATTACCATTTTCCCTTTCACAAAGCAATTATTTTTCTTTCTTTTTTTTTCTAATGGATTTTATTAATCACATCTGTCAGCCACACAAGCAGCATTTATTAACTCTGGAAGTAAAACATTTAAAAGGTTGCATTTATTTTTCAATTGGAGAGGCAAATACTAATTGAAGAAATCTCTAAAACCCCAACTTAACATGTGGATGAAATGATATTGGCAGCCCAGCAATGGAGTAATGAAACAATCTATGCAGAAAGCAGTTGGGTTCTCTGCTGAACTCTCCATCTGGATGTCTCTGTTAACATACTTCAAAATCATGCATTAAGAATCTCTGTGTGATAGATGGCTAACTTTTTTTAAGTTGCCATCTGCTACTTGTAAGTTACTCTCCTAGACACTAGAAGGATACACAGAGATAGATATGATATGTGACCTCATAAATATTGAGGATGAGGAAAAAAAATCCTTGCAGCTATCACAGAATAAATGTAAACTAATACATGATGAAGTGGTACAGAAATGTTCCAAGTACAAATGGGTCTATTGAGAATAAGAGGAATTTAATTCTGAGGATAAGGTGATCTTTCTGAACCATCTTGAGTTTAACTGCTATTAGGTTACAAAAGAGTAGAATTTTGGTTGGGCAAGGAAGGACATGTGGGATTTCAATATGTTGAGATAGAAAAGGAGTTGAAGGAGGCAGCATATTTCAAAAGGAAGAAAGAGGAAGCAGTGAAGCAGAGATGACAAGTCTTAAGGCACAGGTGGGCTTACTTGGTGGCTCAGATGATAATGTATCCTCCTGCAAGGCAGGAGGCTGGGGTTCAATCTCTGGGTTGAGAAGATCCCCTGGAGAAGGGAATGGCTACCCTCTGTAGTATTCTTGCCTAGAGAATGCCAAGGACAGAGGAGCTTGGTGGGCTGTGGTCCACGGGGTCACAAAGAGCCGGACATGACTGAGCAACTATCACTTTTACCTTTTTTCCTTCAGGGGACTGTGAATGAGAGCGAGTCTCCATCCACTCTTTCTAGGCTCATGCATGTCTCTGGCCACCATACTTCACTTTATAAACCATACTTTACTTTATGATAATCTTTTTAAAAATGCAAGTATAACGGAGGGAAGAGGTGTGAGGGGACAAATGGAATAGGTAAAGGGGAATAAGAGGAACAAATTTCTAGTTATAAAATAAATAAGTTGGGTGATGTAATGTACATCATAGGGAAAGTAGACAATAAAATTGTAAAAACTTTGGTAACAGATGTTAACTAGACTCATAGTAGTGATCATTTTGTAATGTATAAAAATATCAAATCACTATGTTGCACACCTGAAACCAATATATTTTAAGTCAACCATGCTTCAATAAAAATAAAATGTAAGTATGCTCCTGCCCACCTTAGGAAACATCAGTGGTTTCCAGTTGCTCTAGGTGAAGACCACAGGCCTCATAATGCCCCCATACCTACATGATCAGCCCCTTGTGGAAACTTCCAGCCTCATCTCTTATTTCCGCTTACATTAGGAGCAATAGTCACCTGCTTTCAACCACTTCAAGTAATGACTGCCTCTGGTATAGAACTCCTGTGGTCTCATAATTAATCTCTACATTTCACCCAGCTTGACAAATAGCTGTAATGACCCTAGTTCCTCTTGCTTATTTGAGTGCTGACTTGCTGCTAATCCTTGAGAGGTCTCTTGAGCTCCAACTGTACAGTATTAAGCACATTTTACATCCATAAGTGGGCAGCGACTGCTCCCGACTACCTTATGATCTTCTCACATGCTTTCCCCTCTTTCTTGGAAAGACCTCTCTCCCTCTACCTCTAAAGCTTCTCCATCTTCCAGCTAATACCTACTCAAATTTAGAGCTAAACCTAACTTCCATTTCCTCACTTATTTGTGGGACATATCATCTACTTGATATTGTCCCATATATCTCTTTAGTTACTGTTGGTCTTTTTCTTTATGTTCCTTAAGACTAGATGATATTATGTGACCTATCTTCAAGTTTTAGGATTCTCTCTTCTGTGTCTTCTAGTCTGGTGTTAGCGAACCCCCATTAAACTTTAAAATTCATGTATCATATTCCTCAACTCCAGTGTATCTATTTGGTTCTTTTCAAAATTTCCTATCACTTTGTTGAGATCCTCTCTTTGTTCATTGAGCACTTTTATCATGTTTGAATTATCTGTCAGGTAAATTATGTAACTCTATATCATTAGAGTAGATTTCTGGAGTAATGGGATCATGTTTCCCTGAATCTTCGTCTTCTTTGGCCTGGGTTACTATCTATACTTTAAAAAACAAAACAAAAAACAAATCTGCCACCTCTTCCAATCTTCCCAGATTGGCCTTATATATGAAAAGTCTTTCACCTTCAACCTGGCCTAAACTTTTGTGGGGTTTTGTCAACTTGGTACTAGTAGTATGCTCTCATTAGCACTCGGAGACAGACAAGCAAGAAACCCATCTTCTGAGTGGCTCCTGGAGAAGTTGAAACCTTGGGTGTGCAGTCCAATTCTTTCTTCCCTCAGGGAGAAGTTGAGAACTGGGATTTATTACCCACTCTGTGCTTAGCCAAGGAAGGGAGCTGAGGCAAGTATTTACCCACTAGTTCAAACCATGGTTTTGCTTTCTATACCCTCTCCAAGCCAGGCTTCAATAGTATGTGAACCGTGAGCTTCCAGATGTTCAAGCTGGATTTAGAAAAAGCAGAGGAATCAGAGATCAAATTGCAAACATCTGTTGAATCATCAAAAAAACAAGAGAATTCTGGAAGAACATCTACTTTGGGCTTTATTGACTATGCAAAAGCCTTTGACTGTGTGGATCACAATAAACTGTGGAAAATTCTTCCAGATGGGAATACCAGATCACCTGACCTACCTCTCGAGAAATCTGTATGCAGGTCAGGAAGCAATGATTAGAATAGGACATGGAACAGCAGACTGGTTCCAAATAGGAAAAGGAGTACATCAAGGCTGTATATTGTCATCCTGCTTATTTAACTTATTTACAGAGTACATCATGTGAAATGCTGTGCTGGATGAAGCACAAGCTGGAATCAAGATTGCCGGAAAAAATAGCAATAACCTCAGATATGCAGGTGACATCACCCTTAAGGCAGAAAGTAAGGAAGAACTAAAGAGCCTATTGATGAAAGTGAAAGAGGAAAGTGAAAAAAAAATGGCTTAAAGCTCATGGTATCCGGTCCCATCACTTCATGGGAAACAGATGGGGAAACAGTGGAAACAGTGGCTGACTTTATTTTTTTGGGGCTCCAAAATCACTGTAGATGGTGACTGCAGCCATGAAATTAAAAGACACTTGCTCCTTGGAAGGAAAGTTATGACCAACCTAGACAGCATATTAAAAAGCAGAGACATTACTTTGCCAACAAAGGTCCGTCTTGTCAAGGCTATGGTTTTTCCAGGGGTCGTGTATGGATGTGAGAGTTGGACTATAAAGAAGGCTGAGCACCAAAGAATTGATGCTTTTGACCTGTGGTGTTGGAGAAGACTCATGAGAGTCCCTTGGACTGCAAGGAGATCAAACCAGTCTGTCTGTCCTAAAGGAAATCAATCCTGAATATTTGTTGGAAGGACGGATGCTGAAGCTGAAACTCCAAAATTTTGGCCACCTGATGCAAAGAATCGACTCATTTGAAAAGATCCTGATGCTGGGAAAAATTGAAGGCAGGAGGAGTAGGGGATGACAGAGGATGAGATGGTTGGATGGCATCACCGACTCAATGGACATGAG